CTCAGGTTGAACATCAGAAGGGCGATTAAATTTTCAAGTATGTAACGATATTGATGTTATTTTTTTAATCAACTAAATATTTACTTATTTTTTAATAAAATTATATAGTGATATTTAAAATATTTTAAGATTACAAACTAAATTGACTACTATAATTTGAAAAATAAAAAAAATTGACTTTCAGATTACATTAAATTTATGCTAACATCACTTCAATCAAGTCTAACTATTAATAAGATGATTTGATCGCCACATCACACAAATTTCATTAATATTAATTTGCAAATTTTATTAACCACTGAAGGTCAAACTTGAACTTGCGAGACCGCCTGCCCTCACACGTGTGTACTTAGATTAACATTGTCCAGGGCACGTAATCACGTAAACGAAGAAATCATCTCTCCCTTGTTCCATCACGTGCACACTATAAAGGCATATGCACGTGCGCATTTGCTAATAAAAAGTAAAAAATGAAAGTGACATTTATTCTGACTTTATTGATTCCACCTTTTTTGGCTATCATCGCCCCTTCGAGTATTGATGAGTACATCATCTCCATGAACAACAAAACGGGCAAATCGGAAAAGCCACACATCGTTTTTATAGTAGCCGATGACATGGTATGTATTTTCTTTCAAAAAAAATTTTTTTAACAACAAATGCCATTTTAATATATGATACATAATGTAAAATTCAGGTAACCCACAATTATTTTTATTCAAACAGTTTCACTCAAAGAAAATTTTTTTGATTTATTCCAAAGTAACTTGTTGCCTACTTTGAGACAGGAATGCAATGTCCGTATTTTTGTTCAAGCTAAATGTGGGGCTGAACTTTTTTACGAAAAATGTCACAATCAGTACATTCAGCTGAAAATCTCACGTGATTTAGGAGGATCATGTAATGGGAGAAAAATTTGGCGCAATAGAGCAAATCACAAAAAAATAATACGTTTAGTGGTGCGTCAGCGCTGGCAAATAATTAGTTACACATGCCTAGGCTAGTAAAATAAGAAATGTCACAAATCACGTGTATATTTAGCCGAGGCGAAGCTGAGGCTTTTTTTCAATTCGGCATTAGCCCCTCAGGTGGTGTGCTGTGATAAAACAAAAAAAAAAACAATAATTATTTCTCATAAAAAACAAAGTTTGCATACTTTTAAAACCTGCTTTTTTTACTTTTATGATTATTTACGCGTTGAAAGGACCTTGAAGTATTGTATCTAAACTAAAATCTCTGCAGAACAATAAATCTCGTCACGCAAACTTTGTGCATGAGTGCACACTCGCTCTCCTTCTCTTTCTCGCTCTTAATTTATCTTAGAAAGTGTGATATAATGTCTATAATCTGAACTTGGAATTAAATACACGGTCTTAATCATATTCTCTCCTTATCTAAAATTTTTCTCTTTTTAGTAAAACCACGGTCGTACAAACGACCAAGAGCTAAACCTTCAAATTATTGGCGTAAAGAAGACCAGCGTAGTTTTTTTTTTTTTCGCTGATACGTTATACTGAGACTTTAGGTGATTGTTATTTTATGTAATTTATTTTGCAAGGGTCACACATGAGGATAAGATGTTTTCAGCGATACTGAGAAGTTTTTTTTTTGTTCCATGGCTGAGTGAAATATTATATGCCTGCCATTTACGATTAAAGTAAATATGAGAACAAATAGACCAATGAAAGTAAATACTTATAGTTTAATTCTGGCATTACTCACAAATAAATACATTTTTTCTATTTTTCGACAACTAGTGTATTGTAAAAATTCATACAAATAACCATAAATCCATTGAATAGTTATATGTAACATATTTCTTTGAAAATTTAGTTATTTAACACATCAGTCAAAGAATGTTTAAAAAGTTGATGCAACTTTTATTATTCAATTTAGTCCATATAAAATTGTTTATACCACCTAGTGGTACACACTACGTATATAGTTTACCTTTCGTATGAGTTAAGTCATTTTTCAAACTCTTATTACCACTCCTTTTAATATTTATTATTTAGTTTGTAGATGTTTTGCACACTTACGGGTTAAAAAAAAAATTTTATATTTTATGCGGAAACAATATTCACAAACAGTTTACTTTTAAAACACTTAAAGATTAAAAAAAAAATTAAGGTGGAATTTAAAAAAATTTCATCGTAAGTCAGATAAGTCAAGATGTGTTATTTTAGAGGGAATGAATACATTTTTTAAATTAACTTTTTTTATTTCAAGCACTGTATAACATATGAAAGTGTAAGATAAAAGAACAAGAGATACGAATAACAGTCATGTTTGAAAATGACTGGTAATTAGTTACGCAGTGAACAATTTTTTTTTTTAATGCTTCTACGTGTAAGCTCACAAATAAGTTTTGCTATCAATGCATTGTGCTCAAGGAAGGTTTTTCAAGGCCTGTTCGGTTTTATATCTCTAAGGTTGGCTTAGAAAAAAAAAAACTTGTAGTATACGCGCACCGTATTTTAAAGCAATGATCAAAAGCCTCACAGTAGAAACGCGTAAAGTGTGTTTCACTCTTAAAGATTAACGTATACTAATTAAATAATTTTTTTTAGACATTTAAAAATTTAACTATCATGAAATGAAATACCGGACGGGTTCATACTCATTATTCATGATTCATCATCATGGATAATAAAAATAATAATAAAAATAAAGCTATAAAGTAACTTCATCACATTAGGTGTTAACATTTTTTTTTTTTTTTTTGACATGGTAAAATATTAACTGCAACGACAATCTGAGATTATAGCAGCTTGAATAAATAATAATGAAAAAAAACATATGCATGTGTTGACTTTACTCGTTTCTAAATATATGGAAGAAATTGGATAATCCTAGTAATAATAAATGTCTTATTAAGGACAATAGTCAATGTACTGCGATTTAAAAAAAAATGTTACAAAAGAATCGAGATTTAAATGGAATAGTTGATAAAACTATGAAAGCTACGACTCAATCTGTTTAAAACAAAATTCCATTGTAATTTATCAATTTTAAAAATGTGCATTCCATCTAATTTAATTTTTACATTTTTAACAGCAATCAGTATACAAATTTCATTAAAGGGTTTGAGCTTAATAATTATAATTTTACAATCATTCATCATTCTATACATTTATTAGTACGTATATAAAAATTTTGATTTGTTGACTGTCTTTTTAAAGAAAAGTTACATATTATTGAATTGAACGCTCGATGGAAACCTCCATTTAACAACTTGATTAAAAATATAATAATTATTGTTTGATTGATTAAAAATTGAATCATAATACTTATTATGTAAAACAGCTCTATTTGCTGTGTGCAATTCATCACTTGTCACTTTTTGACGTAGTTTTACGGAAGAGTCAAGTGAAAGAGATCATATCAACCCCAAGTAAAGCGACAGTATGAGAAAATTCTAAATCATGTTCTTTATCTTAAGAATCTCCTAGTCATATGTTAAGTGGGACGGATAAAAAATGTTTTTTTTTCATTAGGGGTGACGAGTCTGTACATATTTGTTCATATTTCACTTTCAACCAATGTCTCAATCGATAAAAATTTATTATTAAACCTGGCAATTGTCATATCTTTTATTTTATTATCTCCCTCGGACTATACATCATATACCGTTATTACGTAAGTGTTGAAGAAAACATTGCTCTTTTCTGCACACTTGTCGTACACATCGACATGCCTCATTCGTAACAGTCACAAATGTGCTCTTTCACTAACACGTAAAGGTGGAAGAAACTCCAGCGCCTGTGCAGCCAAGGGCAAACATTCAAGTACAAACGATCCGATGCAAACGAAAGCAAGAGTATCACTCACTATCGTAGGAATCATTTCATTTAGTTTTGTCGTCACGTTTGCACTGTGGCTTAGACACGCGAGTGTTTCATATCAGATGTTACGGTCGACTTCGTTCATAAGTATGTAGATTTTACATGACGCGTCGAAAGTAAATGTATCAGTGATAATTGTGATAGTTAAAAAAAGTGGAGTTGTGGTGAAATTACGTATTTTTCATTGTAGCGTGATAAAATATAAAAATGCGAGTGCCATTTTTTATTTTGACTTCTTTTGTCATCGCCGTTCTTTTGGGCATTGGCAGTTACATCATTTTTATGAATAACAAAACAGATAAATCGAAAAAACCGCACATCGTTTTTATAGTTGCTGATGATATGGTAAAGTATTTTTTTTTTTGTAAAATAATATTAAAAGTTTTCATTATTTGATTTTATAGATAAAAAGTTGAAATTAAGTTACGCAGATTATTTTTTTCAATTTACTGATTTTGTAAAAATTTAAAGAAAACAGTTAAACTTCAAAACAAAAAGTTGTAATGTATTTGAAGCGTGGGGAAAGGGTATCACTTTTTAAATTTTTTTTATCCATTGAAAGATAAAGTAAGAACTTAAAAAATATACAAGAAATATAGAGACAAAAAAACGTGTGACTAACGAAAATTTATGCAATCATGAAAAATTTATCAAGAAAAATTGCATAAACTTAACTATATAGACACGCGGCTTTTCCGTTCCATAAACCTAAGATAATCGAGCATGGTGTGCTGGTAACCCGATTTTTCACATAATCACATATAAAAGTTATTCTGTATGAAAAAATTGTTTAAAACTTTGTTGAGTTTATCGTGAGACTTTCAACTTTTATGCTATGAAATCACACCTTTTGTCGATAAAAGAATACAGTCGAGACACGTGCTTAAGAAAGTCTTGCTGTTAATAATATGTAATTAATTACGAAAACTGGGCGATAATGTACTTCCCTCGTAAATAAGACCCTCAAGATAACGATGTCAAAATTTAAAGGTACGAGGTCCTTTCAGAGCCAATAAATCAATTGACTGTAGCGAGAAATAGAACTTTCCTAATTAACAATTTTCATCTTTCAAATGCAAAGTTTTCAAATTTTTTGACGTAAAAGCTATGAGAAATTAGGCTGCAATAAGCATTTCTTAAAATTGTTTTGCATTTACTTGAACACTGGCAAAATCAATAAATATGATGATAGGAGCCTTATCAGTTTCTTCCTCCCTATAAGCACGCCATCAAAAATTAAAACAATTGCACTCGTCAAATTTTTTTTTTGTAACTCGTTATTTCCCTCCCATTTAAAAATACGAGTACGAATGTGTCTGTATCAGGTTGATAAGGAGCTGAACTAATGTATACATTATTCAAGTTGTGATGAACGTGGTAAATACGGAGCTATACGTCTTACGTTGCAAAAATTATCATTTGAACACGATAGATAATGGAACATGTAGATTACAGCATTTGGTCAATAATTGATTATTACGAAATGTTACGAACTGCACACTTTCTTGATATTATTTTTTTTTTAGGGCTGGAACGACGTCAGTTTCCACGGATCAAATCAGATTCCAACACTCAACATCGATGCCTTGGCATACCATGGGGTTATATTAAACAGATACTACGCATTGCCCACCTGCACCCCATCAAGGACTTCGTTATTAACGAGCCGTTACGCTATAAGAGATGGTAAGAATATTGTGTAAATAATCACGTTTTCATTTGTAAAAGTATGAAATATATATATATTTTTTGGAAATGAAGTGACTCATTAAAATTTCACTAATATAACGTCCATATGGCGATAGGAATGCAGGGTTGGCCAATAGCACCCGGTGAACCACGTGGTGTACCGCTCAACTTGACCCTCATGCCGGAGTATTTCCGCAATCTTGGTTACTCGACGCATCTCGTTGGTAAATGGCATCTCGGATACGTGACTAAAGATTACCTGCCAACGAGTCGTGGATTCGATACGTTTTTTGGTTACTACAACGGGCTGATTACTTACTTTGGTCATTGGGTTAAAACGGCACGTAATGTCGTAGAGGTATGATTTTTTTTATTTAGTGATTTCCTCGAAAAAATCTATGAAATTTCGTGTAAGAATTGCATGAAAAAATTTTGCAATAGCATTTTTGCATGATATCTTTAAGAAATTGCACGGGTGACTGCTGGTTTTTAAGCGTTAATTAAATTTTTGTGACATTTGGCTTAGTTTTGGCATCAGTCACCTTTTGCGATAACCCAAATCTGAAATCTGTGAGTTATTTGCCAATAATAATTTATACGTTTAAAAATATTTCAAAGAACACAGACACCGGAATTAAAACAAATCTTTCATGACATCTTGTGGAAAAAAAAATTTAACAATCCAGGATTCTTTTTACGAATTTTCGTAGGAAGTTCTCCAGTCAATTTAAGACTGTATTTTGGGTTTCGTGACTTATAGTTTAAACCATTTTTAGTCAGTCACTGGTTACGATCTGCATCGTGAAGATTCAGAAGGTGAACGAGTCCCCAGTGAGGAAAATAAGTATTTTACGGATCTTATCACCGACGAAGCTGAAACCATCATCAAGAGAAATGGTAACGATAAGCCGCTTTTCCTCCAAATCTCGCACTTGGCTGTACATGCCAGTGAAGCTGAAGATCCCTTGGAAGTGCGGAATTCAACGGAAGTCAATACAACGTTTTCCTACATCACAGACACGAATCGTCGAAAGTACGCTGGTAAGTTTGTGCTCTTGATCAAAAACCAAAGGTGTTAACATCTTGAAAAATAGATTTTTGTTTTTGTTTTTTTTTTTAAATTTAATAAATAATTTTCAATAGGCATGATGAAGGCAATGGACGAATCTGTGGGACGAGTGATGACTGCCCTTAGCAAAGAAAATATGCTGGACAATAGTATTATCGTTTTCATAAGCGACAATGGAGCTCCAACAATAGACTTTTACGAAAATTCGGGCTCGAATTACCCCCTCCGCGGAGTACGGCACATTTATTTTATTTGCTTGCAACCCAACAACACACGTACGCATAGACATAGAGGAATGTCTTTAATCATGTATGACAATAATTGCAGATAAAAAACACGCTCTTTGAGGGTGGCGTTCGAGTCGCGGCATGTATCTTTTCTCCTCTGATCGAGGCGTGGGGAAGAGTGACGAACGAACGGATGCACATAGTCGATTGGCTGCCAACTTTGTACGCGGCAGCTGGTGGCAATGTATCTGACTTGAAGACTCCCGTTGACGGGCAAAATTTGTGGACGATGATCGCCAAGGGTACGGAGTCGCGGCGGAAATCGATACTCCTAAACATCGATCCCAACAGCAATGGCGAAGCCGCCATCATTGGCAGGCATAAGTTGATAAAAGGTGATACAATCAACTTTTTTCCCAAAGAATTTCCGTAATTGAATTTCGTGACGTAGCAAATCTAAACACCCGTTGTTGGTGTAGATACCAAGGAGGTGGGCAAAGGCTACTACGGTGATGCTGGCAACGACATAACCTATCCGGTGTACAATGCCGGCGAAGCCCTGCGCTCGCCGGCCGGCTTGGCCATTAAAAAGTTGTCCAGTTTCGCCGGACTAAATCCAGAAAAAGCCCAAGTGTTGCGCGAAAGAGCTACGGTTCGATGCTCGAGACCTCGGACTCAGTTGGACTGCTCGACGTTGTGCCTCTTCGACATTGAGGACGACCCCTGTGAGACCACCGACCTGTCTCCTCGGCAGCCCGAAGTAAGTAAATTGGTAAACCCATGCCCATCGGTTGATAACCAATTATTTTTAGGTTATGTTTGATGGTTACGTGGTTTTCTTTGCAGATTGTCAAACAGTTGGAGGAATTTATTGATGAATACAAGAAGGTGATGTCACCTCAGATGAACGCGGAGATAGATCCATGTTCGGATCCAAAGTTTTTCAATGGCGTTTGCATGCCTTGGAGAGTAAACTTTACTGTACCTCCTCTGATCGTTGCATCTGGCAAATGTCAACATCCTGCGAACGAATCAGTTCTTTTGCAGGTATAGTTTTTTTTTTTTTTTTTTTTTTTTTTTTATACTTTTGTACACTTTCTAAAAAAAAAATCATTGTGAGTTTTTAATTTTGTATCCTTCATGGTGCTTAGAAAAATTATATGTTATGAATAACCGACGGAAAAATATACGAAGATAAATATATTATGTTTTGTTTTTGCCGTGAAATGCTATTTTTTAAATAAATTAATTGATCAGGAAGTAAAATCAATCAAGATTAAACATAAAAATGTTGTGTATTTACATACGTAGTGCACAGCCACAACCGCGATTTCATAAATGCTTCCAATTTAAAAATTACTATTTTTATATTATGAAATAAGTACTTACTCGAAACTATACATTATTTATAGTAACTGTACATTATTTTAATGTAAAAAAGCTCAAATATTGTCACAAATCAAGTAATTTGAGGAAAAGAGGATACTATCTCTCTTTTAACAACCGAGATCTATACAACTAACTTTTACATGCTTCGGCAAGCTAAATAATTACCATGTATTGTGTGCATAACAGTTTATCAATAAAAAAAAACAATAACAATATCAATAACAAAGAAATTATTAAACAAAAAATCATGATCCACATCAATGAGTACTACGTATTCCTCATAAAAACAGCGAACGAGTTATCCCCGAAAAGCATCCTACAGACTCTATACTCCTCCATCATTAAAAAAAAAAAAAAAGAAAAGAAAGAAAAGAAAACACACTCACCATCACTACACATCGCATTTTCAGTAAACTACCAGTAAAACGTATAGAAAAAAAAAAAAAAAAAAAAAAAAAAAAAAAAAAAAGAAACCTCGATTCTCCACTTTGATGTCCCCGTAATGGATTCCCTTTCGAACCCCCGAGCAAACGCATTTAATCCTCCAATCAATGATCAATGGTCGCGCGCGTTAATGGACCATCCAGGAATATATACCCGCGAATAAATAAAACGAATATCCATTGACTCCCCCCTAGTGATAAGAGAACGGAGGAAAAGAGCATACCGAATTGAATTAAAGCTCCACTCGTACGCGCCCGCGCAGCAAAAGGAGCCGCGGATACCGAGGAGGCGGTCAATTAATACACGCCCCCGCGCACCCTTTGTCGCTGCTATACACGCACACGGTACAATAGCCAAGCAGCTATGAGAGAGAGAGAGAGATAAAGGACCCGGGAGGTGGAAGGCTGATGGCGCGAGTGGGGGGTGGGGCCAGAAAAATGGAAAATTGTTAATCACGCCGGGGAAGAAAGGTAATTACTTACGTAGCAGAGCAGGTGGGGGGGGGGGCGGTCGGAAAGTATACAGATCGCGCGCGCATAATAAGCCGGCTTCCGTCGTTAATTAGACCCCGGGGTGTATATAATATATATATGCGCGGCTGAAGAGAAGAAAATATACACGTCAAGGAGAGAAAGGGACGACAGAGGAGGCGAAGAACAAGGAGGGAGGGTTCATCTGCAAGAAATTGATGCTACGCTCCTCGCTCATATACATGTATATACACATATACACATAGCCAGCACGGTGTACCCTGTACCCGTCATTGCATACGTATTATGCAGATGACGAGCGTGACCTATACGCGTGACTTATATACATATATATATTTACACGATTTTCACGATTGAGGTTGTTATGATATATGTATAGGTAGGTAGGTAGGTAGGTAGGTATACCCATGAGACTTTTGCACTTTGGCAAAAGTTGGTGGTATATAATATACGGACGGTGTCGCAACGTGCGCGCGTGTGTGGCTGATGGCACTTTAATGGTCCAAGTCCGCGGGAGTGACGCGAGTGAAATTACGATGGTTACGCTGATGCCGGTCAATTAGGTCCGCCGAGCTGGTGCTTAATCGATAGGGGTAGAGAGACGAGGGTTCAGTCAAGAAATTAGACTGGAGGAGCTTGATTCATTGGACTTTCTCGAGGCGACAGCTGCGTGGGCTAGGTGATTTTTACCGTCCCTTGTGACGTGATACCGTATATTATATGTATGTACCACTATACATACATGTACGTAGCAGTGGAATTTCGCAACCCGTTGCAGCTGGAAATGATCAATTTTGGGCTCAAGGATGTCTTTTTCTTTCATTCGCGTGATTTGTGTGTGTTATAAGTGCACCGTTGAAAAAGTTTGTCGAAACCAATGGTCGTTCGTAAAACAATTTTTATACCGATTCCCAACAACATAGCTTCGTTGAATGTTTTATTAAATTAAGCGATGTTTAGTTAAAATTTTTTAATGTTTCCAATCATCAAGCAGAGTTTTAGAATAAACTGGTATGGTTGCGAATGAATTTGATGAAATATTAATTTTTGTGTGTGTACTCATTTTTTTAAAAACATTGCTTGGGGTTCAAGTGCACCGAAAAAATGTTCAATTACGATGAATCACGAGTTTGTTGACAAGTACTCTGTACCAGTGACGTTTGAGCTCATGACGAAAAATTGTATTACTTCCCTGACGAATGAAACGTCAACTTCAAACACCGCAAATGAAGGGGGAGCCGAAAATATCGAGCTTACATCGTAAAAGTACCAACCTCGTTCTTGCAGTTAAACATAATATAGAGCAACATGTATACATGTATATACTTTTATGCAGTAAGCGACAAATCAAGCTGTATAACCACGCGTACGTATATATGTGGCATATATACAAAGACGTACAAATCATTTGCGCGTGTGGTTGACGGGAGGGAAAACCATGGTATCAAGGGAAGGGAACGATGTCAAGCCAAGATGCGCAAAATTTCGGGCCATGAGCCGTATCACTGTGCGGTGGAGCACTTGTAACTGAGCGCGGTTGGGTGTACGGTAACGGGGGGGTACAGCGAGTCATTCAGGTGTGGCTTAGGCTGGATATTGTCGAGCCATTTAACCGTTGTCCTTTGTTTTGTTCGGCTATACTTATGATACTTACTTCCATTGAATGTACGTACATATGATTGTTGGACAGTGATGGATTACGTGGTACAAATGATTGTTTCTTCCTCGATAAAGGTGGAAAATACCATCCAAGTGCTTCTTTCATGAGACAAAAATGTTTTCCTCTGTAAGTAGACAAGTTCTACGCATCATCATCACATTGAAATTAAGGTATTTAAAAAACAATTTCGGGAGAGCCTGCTGTCTCTTGTGCGCATGTTTTAGCTATTTCACGCGTCGTTTACCGATTTCTCGCATCATCCGTAACGGCTGGATGAGATAATCCCTTGATGAAAATTAAAAAAAAAAAAAAAAAAAAGGATTTTTCAATTATACTTAAGCAAACCAATTGCCCAGAAGTACAGAGTATTTTGTGTTCAATGCTCTCCGCTTCTCCAGTGCCAAACGTAGGAAAACAAAAGTCCCGACACACGTATACCACGCATTCGATCGAGCATCGAAAAATCGGAAAAATCATTTGAACGTGTACAACAATGTTACACAAATACCTATACATATAATATGCATGTACATAGATCTAAAAACAAGAACACGCGCGGTTGAGCGATAATTAAACATGCGGGCGTGTACATAACGAGTAAAAAAAAAAAAAGAAAAAAAAAAAAAGAAAAAAAAACAGGAAAAGGATAGAGGTAAAGAGCATATCGGGAGAAGAAGAAGAAGAAGAAGAGGCTGTATGTGTATACTTACGAGTGAGGGTTTTGCGAGGGACCGAGGCGAAAACAAAAGGGTGGAAGATGAAGAAAAAAAAAAAAAAAAAAAAAAAAATGGACGAGGAAGAGCTGATGGCAGGCGCATGTATTTGATCGAAACTTTTGCCTTCGGCGCTGTATATATGTATTATACGGTTTTGCTGCGCTGATTCACAATATAATATAAAGGGCTAGCGTACGAGGATACATGTACGTATATATATGTAGCGAGAGCTGACGAGAGAGAGAGAGACAAGAGCACGTTGATGCAAAGTCGAGGGAGAAAGGGGGTGGCTCGAGAGGAGCGCGCGCGCGTCTATGTATATATACATGTGGTATTGCGTATGTGGATGGGGGCTAAGTCGCTTTTAATAGTCGAGACAGCTGCCACCGTATTTGTCTATATATATATATACATACATATCTGCGTGTACAGATCGTTGGCGTTTTGTTTGATATTTCATGGCTCCTTGCGGATAATGACGGGAAATTAGCAGCTCCTCCGCTTGGCGTGTATATAGGTTTACAACACATGCGCCTGCAGTCAAAATATATATTGTAGGTAGTCTCGAAAATTCCTGCGGGTCCTCGCCGTCTCTGTGGACGATTTCACGAAGAAACCATTTTTTTTCACTTGGAGGATGGTGAAAAAAATTAAAAGTTACGACGGTGGAGTTACAATGTACCTATCGACAAATCAACCAAGCAAGGTCCATGGTTTTTCACCCCAAGTGTTGCTTAACTACAATTTTCAACCAGCTTTGCTCAAGTCAGAGCACCTTGTTTTTTAAGGTGGAAAACTAGTTCAAAAAAAAAAAAAAAAAAAAAAGAAATATATACCGAAAACGATCCCGCCCAAAACTTGATTGTGATGTAATTTAATCCTCAATCATCTTACAGGTTTTAACTATCTCAGCAGAAGTGCTCTTCTCTCAAAATCTCTTCAAAATCGTGTAAGGTAATATGAAGCGTGTATGCCATACATTCACATATTACTCTCTCTTATCTTCAAAACGACCGGTCTTGCATTTCCGTACTAATATACGTATAGGCACATCATCAAATTGAAGGAATACCACAATACATGTAAAAATGATCGTGTGCCATTAGCTCACCTTGCCAGCTTATAATTATACTACGCGCTCTCGTGTGTACATAATGTGCGTATCAAGCGCACAAAGGCCCGTACTACTTGTGAGCCTCTCTCTCTCGGGAAATCGTCCGATCATTAATACACATACATGTACCACGGCAATTAGCACGCGATCCCCCGCACAATGGGCTAACAATATATTTGTTAATGACTGCGTATATAATACATACACGGATTTATTTTCATCTGTCCATTCGGCTCTTGTTGCTCGATGGCATACGCGGATCAAGTGAGACTTTTCGGATGCACCGCCACCCGCACCGGCTCATCGACAAATATACCTTTCCCTCTGACGTTGGTTACCTATATACTTTTGCCGCTCGACCGCAACACTCCACTTTTTCCCGAAAATATTATTCCGGCCAATGGTTTCACACTTGCGTGTCGCGTTGGCCTACGCGCGTTACATGAAAAACTTTCGTTCGCCCATTCGCGCATGTATTTGTTTACTGTGGTTCCACGTCGATGCTCATACAGTATGACTCATCGAGGTGAGGAGTGTTTCCTTTAAGAAGACGAGGAAGAAGAAAAAGGCATAAAACTCACATCGAAGATCTAATTATCGAGGGCGTCGAGAATTCAGCACTCGCGTGCTACCATACATATATACTCGCTTGGTCGTTCGAGGCAACGACTGAGAGGTCAAGAGCTCTTTGTTTTTTTTTTTTTTTTTCCTTTCTTTCTTTCTTCTTCCGTCGCCTCCGCCGAAAAGATACTGCTAATAGGTGTACACGCGGTAACGTGAGTATAGAGCAAAAGAACAACGTGTGTATATAAAGTTCCCCGATGCACATACCTGGTGTAACTTTTTTTCCTCGGTTCGGCTAATGATCGACCAACGCGGTACTTTGTCCCGCGGGCGCCACTTTTCCGATTCTCACTCCGAGGGGCGCAACAGTGGGAGAAGCTGGTCGTTGTTTTTTTCCGAATGGACTACTTGGAGTTTAAATAAGTGGCGATTAATGGGCTTTAATTGCCTTGGAATCGGTTCGTTAGCGCTGGGATGGATAAAAAATCGTTTGGCTCGTCAATTGATGGTTTTGTGCTGTCAAGCGATAGCCTGAGTATTTTCAATAAAAACATGTGTGTTTGTTTTATTTTTCGGTGATTCGCAATTTCAGGGAAAACTCTGGTGAACCACTGAAAACACAAACAACGCAGATGAAAAAGTACCATTGAACAATTTTTTTTTTGTTTTTGTTTTTTTACAACCAGGAACGTTATGATGATATTGTTTTGACTCACTTCCCAAAAGTTTTATGTTCCATCGAGAGGAGGAAGAAGAAGAAGAAGAAGAGCGTATAACCCGGAGACGCACTATTTGACAAAATGACCCCGCATATGGGCACTTATGGCACGGAGCTCAAAGTTCCCCAAGCGCGGCAAACTATTTCGATTTTCTTCAGCTGAGAGCAAAAGCAAAGCTCCCCAACGACTTTTATATAGTTGTATGGGGTCAGCAATAAAGAAAGGCTTATCAACTTTTGTTCGACTTTTGTATGGGGTCCGGGCTTCGACTGTGCCAATGAGAAGGGGGCCATTGTCTATTGACGGTACGCCGGTCATGCTTTACATGGAAATTTCTCGCCTTTCGTTCCAGAGACGTTTACCGGATTATCGCTATCTTTGTACAGCGACGTTAATTAATTCCCCCCCCCCCTCCGAAACGAATAAAGGTGTATATTTACAGCGAGTTCTTGGTTTTATTAAAAAACTCTAGTCCGCGGAAAAGTTCCGAAAATTTTCTTACAAGCCTAGACTCGATGAGAGAGGGACAATTATTTCAATCGCACGGTTATTTACGTATGCATGTATAGGTACGTACACCCTTCGAATGGCGTGAATATCAGGACCATTGCTAGCCTTGTCCTTTGGTATATAAATATACGATCGCAACAGACGCGAGCCACGCGATACGTAATATTCGCCCTTCTTCTTCTTGTCCCTCCCCGTCCTTATATCCCTTCCTTTTTTACTACGTGGAGAGGAAAATATCTCAGGAGGGGGGTGTTGGGCGCTTGGTCGTGCATATATATATATATATATATACATGGATACACAAGCATGAACGATTCCGCGCAAAAGTTTCACCCGAGGATATCTGCAGCATGAAAAATTTACTTTATAAAAAGGCACGTGAAAACCGGGTTTCCCGGAGTTTGAGAAAATTTGTAACTTGAATCGGGTGTGACATAATATTATCATACCTTTTTTCCCATCCTTTTTAAGCAGTTTGTCAAGTTCTCCGTTTCGGCAGAAGATTTTTCAATCATCTTCAGCTTTTTTTTGTTAAATACTAAAAACATCGATGCTGTTTTCTTTTCAATTTTTTAAAGTTTCTTATGGCCACACTACTGTCGCTCGTACCATCTATAAATAGTTAAAAAACTTTTCTTTTTTCATTCGAATACCGTAGTAAAGTTAGGAAAAAAAAAAAAAAAAAAAATACATAAAATCGCACAACATGGCCATTTTAGGACATGGTCTAATCACAAGGATGGACATACTTCGTATAAACTTGTTTCAGGGCTCGAGTTTGGTGTCTGCACCTGTATCATTGCACAAAAACGTCCTTACGGAATATTTAAAACCCATGCCACTTTCCGGTATTATCGAAGCTTAACGAAAATTAAAAAAAAGAAAAAAAATCTTATCCTTTAAAGGCGTGACCCCAAAAGTAAGTACAGACTCTAAAGTGCCAATGGTATTCTTTTTCGCGTAATCGCTCCTATGTACGCACTTACGGTCAGGAGGCGGCGCGCACGCATCTCCTCGGCGTTTGCTCCATACAGCGGCCTGGACACCTGTAAGCAGCACGCGGGGAGAGCCCCAAACCATCAGCGCCGCAGACACGCTTCGGTGGGCTTCGCGCGCGCTCCCAAGTGTATACCTTGTACCCTCTTCCGCATCGGTCGGCCACTTTGATTTTTGGCGCTTACGAATTTTCCTTTTTCCAAAGCATACGTTTCATGTGTTTACTTTTGAAAAAACAAACAATTTACTCCCCAAACTAAACTCTTTCGCTCAAAATCGTATCGGAAGTGCGACGTTGTGTTACCTTCGTGAAAGTGCACCTCGGACGAAGTTTGCCGAAAAAAAAAGAAAAGAAAAATGAAAATCGCAAAATGTACCAAGCGAAAAAAGTCTCTCGCAATCAGTCCAACGAGGATCTGAGGACACCAGTGCCCTAAACGAGATAAGCAAGCAAAAGCGCAGCATCCGAGTGGTAGGAGAAAAAAAAATTAAAAAAAAAAAAACTACAATTGAAATTAAAAAAAAAAAAAAAAAAGGGAGGGCTAACGAAACAAAAGAATAGGGTGGCACAGCAGCAGCAGTTATAATGTGATTGGCGGAACGGCATCAAGTACATGGGAGAAATGCAGCGGAATCCGGGGAGGAGGACTTTTGTTCTCGTTTCGTTGTTACCGCTCCTACTGTTGCTTCTACTGCGCTGCGACGAGGGCACGTGCATAAAGTGGCTGTAAGTATGCCCTCTGGATATACCTACTCCAAACTCGCGTATACATACAAGCCCTCGAACGTATTCTCAATTGTACGTGTACATTATACACGTAGTCATCCACGAAGGGTACCAAATTCACTCCAAGACGCGCGTCTGTTCATTAACGAATCAAGATTTAATTGCGAGTGCTATTTTTCCAACGGCCCTTACTCCTCTCGTTCTCCTTACTTGCGATGCCGATGCTCTTTTTTCTCCCCCTTTCATACTTTTGTTACGAGTGCAATTACGATATCAACAACAAAAGTTTTATTTTTTATTTTTTTAAGCTTCCCATGATTCTAAATTAAACCAACGACCGATCTTTTGGTATTTCGTTGTTAATTCAATAGCTGGTTATCGATAAAATCGGTACCGATGGTTCAAAGATTCCGTCAAGAGTCGAGATCTCGAATCGGGTCAACGATCGGTTAACATCTATGGGGAGCAAAAGAAAACACCGGTCGCGGGGCACGTGCGAGAGTAAATTTTCCAAGAGCAGTACAAACCCACGGGGTCGATATAAGCGCGTATCATTCGATGTACCGATGCCGGCGCGTAAAAACCACCATGTCCCCGATAAATCCCATCGATCGGTAAAACACGCACGTATTAGCCCGTCGATACAAATTATTACACGAGAGTAGCGGCAAAAAACACGCGGGGCTCGCGAGAGATCGCGGCGATTTCAATTTAAACGCGCTCGCAAAGCACCACCGCGTTGGAACAAAAAAAAAAAAAAAAAAAAATCGGCCATACGTGTGCGCCCGCGTACAAGGGAGGGAAGATCGGCGAGATAAATCATCGGTATCGTTCTCTATAATATCATACGATGTATCAATAACCCAGAAGAGGGCGAGGAGAGGATGATTAATGCGGGCCTCGTTAATGAGAGGCAAATATACGGCGCGGCAGTGGAAGGAAGAAGGGCCCTTCTCTCGCACGCGATATCTGCACAAGCGCACGCGTGAATATCAAGCGATCGGTTTTCCTCCACTTGGGGCGGACCCATGTACTGTACCTATGCGCGATCGGTATCGAGCCAACCGTGGAGAAAAACGCGGAAAAAGCTCATCCGTCATCGGCGCGCGAAATTTTAATTACACGCGAGCGCATATAATGTATGTATATAAATGTACGCAGAGACGTCCGATGAGCAGCATACATATTGGGTAAGGGGGTCGAGGGAGAGAAGCGCGCCATCGTAACGTAACGAAAGCTCGAAAATTAGCAGAGAGAGAGAGCCCGTCGCTCGTTTGCGGAAAAGAGAATGGACGTCGAGTGGGGCCCAATTGTGTATATATTATTATCGCTCGCGGGGAGGCTGAGTGATGGGGAAAAAAAAAAAATATACAGCCGGGGAAGGAAGGGAGAAAAGAAGAAGGAGAGAGCGCGCCCGAGAGACAATGAGACCGGAAACAGAGAAGAGGGTGGGAGGGTAGGGATGGGCGAGCCGATGATGAATAGCGCGATCTTTCTTTCGCTCTTTTCTGCTCTCGGGGGTATATACATATATATATGTATGTAAGCTTACCGCGGTGCTGATGATGGCCGGTACGGTTGTTTTATGTGTATGAACATACGCAGCCCGTAATAAGTGTACAATATCTACCATACTGCGTGAGTCTCTCCGTTTGTAAAAACCGGTAGCCCACAAAGGGCCCAGCTACTTATGTGAACTCGTTTTTTTTTTTTTTTTTTTTTTTTTTCATGTACCCTCTCTCTGTTCCGTTGTAGCAAATGCTTCTCGAGTGGATGCAACGACAAAAGCTCACGCACGGATATTTTGGCTGATTGTTTTTCGCGCGTGCCAATGATCGGTATGGTCGCGAGTTAGGTCGTCAGAAAAAGTCAAACACTCACGTCGAATAGAAGCAACCATAACTGTTATTTCTTTTTCTTCGTTGATTAGGTAAAAGTTTACGGTACGCAATGGGCAAGGATACGCGCTCGAGATTTAGCGGTGCGCCCTTGATCAGCGTTGTCTTGGAAAAAAAAGGGGGGTCTCGGGAGTCGGCAAGATGATTGCAGGGAACGGTGCACCACCGGGAGGCTGCTTAGGAACTCTCCTGTGGAGAATACGCTCACTTGGGATCGCGTTCTTTTTTTTTTTTTTACCCGCCTTGCAGCGTTTTTGACGGCTAAACGATTTTTTGTTATTTTGCTGACGGTGCGGGGAATCGGCGAAGAAAATAAAAAGGTTTGTTGGTCGAGCGAATCGCACGATTTGGCTTTTTTGGTCGTGGGGTCACGGCAAATACAAGCACAATCGGTGCATTCCACTTCTATGGGAATATATACATCGTATACCTATAGCCATCAACAAACACTTGTTCTTTTTACGTTTTGTTATTAACGAAAAAAAAAAAAAAAAAAAAAATATCTGATTCATGGTTGGTTGTTGAAAAAAAAAAAAAAAAAAAAAGATCTGATTCCACGTCTACGAAAAGCCACACAGTTGAACGGTATTAAAAGTAACAATTGACCCGCGAAGGTGTTTCAACCGAATCGATTAACCAACTCATATTTATACTTACACCATTGAGGTACAACGAGAAATATATAACATGTATATAGGAAAAAGGTACGACTGTGATGTATACAAAGAAGAAAAGAAAGGAGGAAAGATTTTAAAAAGGTGGGGTACACCCATTAGAGGTAGGTATATACAAGCGTAACCATAAGCACACATGTACGCGCATGGCACGCTATATATAACGTATACACCGCGAAGGTAGTGATTATCCTCTTTGAGCGCGTGGGCAGTCGTTTCTTGTTGGTGTGTACATTATACATTACAAAATCTAAGAGGAAACGACCGTTGGGGAGTCGCTTTAAGTTTCAGGACTTGTTTCCGCTGTCTGTGCAAAAATGTATTTTTTTTTAAAATAATTTCCAGTGATCTGCATGTCGTGACTCTAGTTTTTTCGCTACTGCTCTAATCAGCTCGACTAAGTACTTTGGAATCCTATATTTTTTTGTGAACAATCCAGAAGTGGATTCCTTATTTTTTTCTCGTATCTCCTTTTCATATACCTACGTACAGACACTTAGGCGTGTCGCTCTTTTGGTTTTCGTGCACATGGTAATTAAGCAAGTACGGCTTCTAACATTCATTCACGTGAAACAAAAAAGTCCTTGTGTACTTACAGTCACGAAAAAAAAAAATAATAATAATAATTATAAAACAATACCAAACCCTCAACTGCATCGTTGAGTATCAAGGAAATTTGCAAAAAAAAAACCTGGTATCGTAGTCGAGATCGAAAAAATGTATACCCCAACAACAGCATAGAGAGAGAGAGGGAGGGAGGGAGGGAGGGGGTGGATAGAGAAATAAATTTCAAGACTTAAACACTGTATTTCGGCATCTCGGCGTATTAACTACACTTGGAGACGTCGGGAGATACGGGGGAGCATCAGCGGCAAAGTCCTGTATTTAATATCCGATTTATAAGCCGGCAGGCCAAGCGTCTCGGGATAAAAAATACCGCGTCGAGAAGCGAGAGGCTCTTCTTAGGGGTAATTAGAGCGGCCGCAGAGGAGAGGGGGCGTGCACCGGCCCCCCCCCCTCTCCCCTCCTTGACCCGTACACCCCAGCACCCAAAAAACTGCCTCCGAGCCTTTTCGCTTCGCTCGTGTGTGTCGTAAGTCATTGCACGAGGTTCCCGTACACCTATACCTACCGATCTGCTATATACTTTGGCTTTGCTCGAATTTTTTTATTTCATATTTTTCCACTCCCGAAAGCGAATAATTATGCCCCGCGTCGAGTTGACGTTGGACGTGACGATGTTTTTTTTTTTTTTTTTTTCCATGCGTATACGCGTGGTATCGCATATATATATACAAGTTACTGTAAAAGGGACCGCAAAAAGCGATAGTCATTTTTAATTTACGAAACTCATCGCCGGCGAGCGTATAACGTTTGATCGTTTTGGCGCGACGAACAGTGACACGTCCCTTCCCGGCGGTAACGCGAGTAACGAGGAATTTGTCGATTACACCATACAGGAACAACTGATCGCCCCGTAAGCGTAAAAAATGAAAATTTTGCTCGGTGCCCCGAATCATGTACACCCGCTTGTTTTACCTCGAAGCGTCGACAACAAAGGGAAAGGGAGGAGGGAGCTTTTTGCAAGTTGGAAGTGCAAAAAGGTCGAATTTTTCCCTTTTCCTCGGCTCGTCGCTCCCTCGAAGCGCGCAGCCCGAGCAGCTTTTCGTCCTTACGTAATCGTCGTCTCGGAAGCGCGAGGCCGTATCCATCTTCCATTCATCGGGATGCTTCGACGCGGAAGTACTGCACTTTTCGCCATATGGATTGTACACGCTTAAGAAAAAAAAAAAAAAAAAAAAAAAAAAAAAAAAAAAAAAAAAAAAAAAAAAANGTTTACTAGAATCTGTTCAGTTGAAAAAAAAAAAAAAAAAAAAAAAAATATTGAAATTTTCCTTGAATTTTTGTTTGTTTCCACCTTTCCGCACCAGAGCCCTGGGCCGAGCCATCGATGGCTTCGAGTGGTCGAGGGAGGCGTGCAACGGCGCAAGGACCTCCGGTCTACTCGAGCGCAAACAAGCCCGGGTCTGTCGCACGAGTCCCGACGTGATGCGCGGCCTCGTGCAAGCGGCCAGGGACACCTCGGCCGTCTGCCAACAGGCCTTCAGGCACCAACGCTGGAACTGCAGCAGCATCGAAAGGGCACCCGATTTCACCTCCGAATTGCTCTCGGGTAGGTTTACCCAAAAAAAAAAAAAAAAAAAAAAAAGGAACAATAATAATCTACGGGAAAAGAAAGAGGGACGAAAGTCTGTGGCGAGATCGTTTTGGAAAGGCCTGAGTGCAGTGATTTTCCGCACTCCAATGGACGGGCTTTCTTTTGCACGGGCGACGTATCCATACGTATATACTTTCGAGGGGATCAAACACTCGATTTTTAAAGTTCATCCAGCATAAAATATACTTATGTCGTCGACGCAATATTGTTACAAATGGTAAATTGATGTACATTCATCGCGATTACTTGGACCACTTTTTCAAAGCCAACCTGAAAAAGTTACCATTGCAAGTATATTCCATTCGCGGAAAAAATGAAACGTGAATCGCAATGTACCGAGCCCCTAAGAAAAAAAAAAAAACTCCCCAACGATTCGCACCCGTGTCCCAAATCACGGTCTCAGCCGTCATTACTTCATAATGCCGTGATCCACCGGAATAATAATAATTTATCGGCAAATCATAATTTCTCCCTCCCTCTCTTGTTCTCGCCCAACAATAAACACAAGGCCCAAAAAGAGTTAGACGTCCTCGTACACTGCCACTTATCGCATCTTCCGCGTTAAGACATTTACGAGCGACAGGCCTGGCGCAAAGCAATAGTTATGTCAAGACCGTATATATACAACGAAATTCACGCGCCAAAGGGGCCCTCCGATAAATTCGCTCAAAGCGGCCCAAACGCTGTCTTTGATTATACCCTCCCCTCCTTCCTCGCACGCTTTAACCCCAAGACCATAATAGGTATACAGCGACGCTGTTATGAAACGACGACGACGACGACGATGATTGGTATGTAGGGTAATCACGCGTATAATCTCGCACGTTATTGTATGCATATATACGCATATATACGCAATATATGGTAAAAAAGAAAGTGTTTTATCCGTGAACGCCTGGTCTGGAAATTTAACTCCGGACGATGGTACCCCGTGAAAATTTAATCGCACATACGCCTACACGCGTATCATCGAGGAGCAATTAAATCTTAGCAGTTTCACCGTAAAAGTTTTCCACGCGGCAAAACATACCCGTCACACCCAAGGGGTAACACTCTCTCAACCATGTACAGACAAACGGACAATGAAATTACAGCTTGTTCGCCACTCTCTCGCTTCAACGTGTACGTATAGTATATTGTTCTCGGGGTCCCGAAAACTCGTGGGCGTCGGGAAGATTATAACCAGGTGTATATATATACACACATTGTACCCCGTATATATACCCAGCCGCGTGCAATCCTGTGATTACGGCGAGATAAGGAACAAACGATGCTTGCACACGCCACGCACACATCGGTTATATATACCCGCTCGTTACGTGATGCTTGCACGGATAATAAATTTCAATCCCTCGAAAATCTCCCGGTCGATCGCCACCCATCTTTTTGCGTTACTTTCTTCAAAAACGCCTCTTGGATGCTCACCACCTACACACTTTGTACAGTATAATTGCGTCTTATTGTTGGGCGCATGCGATGGCTCCTATGTAAACTTAATGTTATAACGTAAGAATATACATACATGTGTATATATGTTAAGTGACAAGTTTTATCAACACGACTCGATGTGCTTGTATAAAACGGTGAAAAGAAAAAAAAGCTCGTCGCACACGAGGCATTAAATTAATAAAAATTACAATGTTTTCGCGCAAAGGGTACGCGCAACAAGACGAGACACCAAAACCGCAAGGCACTCGGGTTTCTTGGTCGCGGCCTCGTCGTCTCTCTTTTGCTCGGCCGCCGCGAATAAATCACTTCCAAAATGATATATATATACCAACACTCGTTTGCCAAAGGGAGAGCAGATTTTCTTGGCAATGCCGCCCTCGCATAGAGCTACGCGTCACCGTATGAAGGTTTCGTTGCATGTAAGAAGCGCGGGTGGTGTATTACATGGGTACGTACAGTTGTATATGTAAACCTATTGGAGGGTAAAAGCGGCAAAATGCTATTGTCTCTCGAATATAATTATACATGTGTATTAAGTTGGACAAGCAATGGTCGTTTGAGCGCAAAAGTATACCAATACCCCGAGACGATGTAAATGTTTGGAGCTGTGTACGAGGACATTTTAAAAAATTTTTTTAATCGATGCGTAACGATTGAAATAATTACAATTTTGGCAATGTAAAAAAAAAAAAAACAAAAAAAACGAAAATAAATAATATAAAATAAAATAACAAGGACCAAAAGAAAGTAATAGTACGTGTGGAAGCTGAGTTAACATTACTTGTTGGAGAAAAAAAAATTGCATCTTCAACAGTAAGGATCGAAAAAAAGGGAACTGTATCTGATTTAAATCAGCAACAAATTGTGTATCAATATTTCACCAGTGAGTTAAACTTACGAATGTTAAATTACAGTACAACGTCAAGATATTTTCTATACATAAATTAGTGATAAACATTTACAAAAGAGATTAGATATTCAAGAGAAATTTTATCATGTACCGCGCAAGTGGCGTTTTTTTTAGAGCTTGTAAATTACCCAGCAAAAACGCGGGTGAGAAGCTATTCGGACTGTTAACGCGGCAAGGGATGGAAAAGGAGCGTCTATGAGGATGATAATGACGACGAGCCGAAGGTACATACGTATGCACATAAGACAGCACCCCACTACCAATAACACAGTCCTTCACTTATGATTTTTTGTTTTTAATATTTACCTTGACAACAGTGGCGCATCGACCGGTATCAGTCAGCCGGGACGAGGGCACGTCAAAAGCCGCTCACAACAAAAAGACACGGGCAAAAGAAGTCGAGGGGGGAGCGCGAAAAATCGTTTCGGACAGCGCAAAAAATCTCGAAGCAGTTGTTGAAGAAAAAAAAAAAGAAAAAAAAAAAAAAGAAAAGAAAAAAACAAAGGACGACAGAGAGTTTTTAGGACCGCGACGAATCTCGTTTTTGGCGTGTACAGCGTATACACGATATTAGGTACGGAGAGAGAAAGGGGGGTCGAGTTGGGTACAGGCGCTCGCGTTAACGCTCGCGTGAGTAGTAAGTGACGGATACTCGTAAATCAAGCCAGTCGAATGGCCTGCGATGCACGAGGGAGAAAGCGGATCATTTGTGACTTTCGGATTTCACGACGGGTAATGACGAAAAGGGAACAAAAGGGGGAAGGACCGGCTGTGCTGGCATTAAAAACGCGCTCTCTCGCGCGCGCGCGTGTGTGTGTACGTGTGTGAATGACAAAGGAAACTTTGAGGTGTTAAAGCGAGTATGTGCTCCGAGTTACGTACGTATTAAAAAAAAAAAAAAAAAAAAAAAAAAAAAAAATGTTATTTTCATTAATGCTATACGCCGATTGGCAAGGATTTATGTTTTTATTGGCCATAAAGTGATTATTCTATATTAAGCTGAAAATTTAAAGTAAAGAGTAAAATTGTGCGTTTTGGCGTGGTTTATCAAAAATAATTAAACTTAACTAAATCACAACACGGAGTTGGAAGCTTCAAAGCTCATATGAGTCGTATAAGATATAGTCACATCCCACCACAGTTGCAGGTTTTTTTTTTTCGTAGCTTCAGTTATCATATGAGATGACACCCAATGGTAGGTATAGCGTTAAAACGTGCTTTTTTTTTTTTTTTTTTTAACTAGTTGAAATAGAACAGTTTTCCAATAAACTCGAGTTGTCCAATGAGATGTTTTGGGATGACAGGAAGGGTTTGCATCATCTTCATGCGTTTGTGATAATTTCAAGCGGGTGGAGGGCATTCGAGGCTTGTGAAAAAAAAAAAAAAAAAAAAAAAAAAAAAAAAAAAAAAAAAAAAAAAAAAAAANTGACAGGAGAAATCAGGATGGCATCTAAAAAAATTTTCAACTGGGCAGGGGGAAAAAATGAAACTTTTGTCTCGAACGAGCTATTTTTTATGCCAGGAGTAAAAAAAAAAAAAAAAAAAAAAAAATCAACCCACATAGGTATATCGTAATTGTATCGGCTGGTTGCATTGTAAAACAAGGGACGAAGGAGCAGGCCTTCGTGTACGCGATGTCGGCGGCCGCGGCGGTGTGGCGGTTGGCGCGCGGCTGTGCCCTGGGCAGTCTGGCCGCGTGCTCGTGCGCGACCCCACCGAGGCGCGAGCCACCCGTGCCGTCGGCCCTCGTCCAGCCGTCGTTCTCTGCGGCAGCCGCTGCCATGGGTTTCATCGGCGTGGGGGGCTCGGCCGCCCGGAGCTCGTTCAAGTGGGGCGGCTGTGGCGACGACGTGCGCTCGGCCTCTAGGATCGCCAAGCGCTTTCTCCAGGGCTCGAGTCCGGCTCCCGGGGCCGGGGCCCTAGCCAAGTTCTTGCACTCTGTCAACATGCACAACAACCGGGCCGGGCGCAGGGTAGGTTATACATTGTCTATTATGTACATTTTCTTTTGACGCTCGGTGTGTGCGCGTGGGAATTATAACTAAGTATACACCGAGAGAAAATATGTAAGAAAAATTAATGTGCTCGGTCGTCTAGAGACTTGTTTTTACTATTGGAGCAATTTTTTTTTTTTTTTTTTCTCACAACGGTTACTTTCGTTGCAAGTATAGTGATTTTTACTGCTTGCATACAATAGAAATTGTTGGCCAAAGTAAAATGTCCCTAGACGGCGGAATGACTCCCAGATTACCATTACCATTCCAGCACAATACAATGTTTATTATATTTTTCTCTCAGGGATAGTCACGATTACGTAAAATACCTATCTCCCTCCAAAGGGTCGAAAGCTTTTTGTCCACCGAGTCTTTGGAAAACACAACATTTTACTGTAAACCCAAGCATGTTAAAGAACACGTTTGAAGTGTGTGGTTGCAATTTTTTTTTTTTTCAAACACATTGTGGGGATAATTTTAAGAACAAGCAAATCAATGGTGAACCGCGTGGTTCGTTAAATTGGACCCATTTGAATGGGGAAAGCCAATGTAGGAAGGCTGTGGAGTGTGAAGAACAATTGTTTAGTTTTATAGAATATATAGTTAACAAAGTATCGATTTGGTTGTCCTTGAAACGTCTATTATAATGCATTTTTAAAAAAAAGAGAAATTTCCATCACACGCGTCCTTAAACACACACTTGGATTTTATATACACAGTTTATAGGTATACGTTATTATGTGAATAATACATGTGATGCGTGTACGATGGTACAGGTATACAGATGAGTATAAAATTATTGTCCGTGATGTAATAATAATATATTTTATGTACAACCGATGGCAGGCGGTGGAGCAATCGTTGGTCCTGGAGTGCAAGTGCCACGGCGTGTCGGGCTCGTGTAGCGTGCGCACGTGCTGGCGCGGCCTGGGCTCGAGTAGCCCGGTAGCCGCGGGTGCCAGACTTTTGCGCCGTTACGCCACGGCCGCCGAGGTCCGGGCGTCCTCGAGCGGCCGGCTACCGCCGCTCTACCACCACAACAACCTGCTCTACACGACCAAGAGCCCGGACTACTGCCTCGAGGACAAGAGACGCGGCAGCCTCGGCACGACTGGCAGGTGAGGCATTTTTTTTTTTTTAAATCTTTTTCCACGCCGGGCGATCTGTTTCGCTTTTGATCGAACAACGCTCGATTTATCGCCGCGGCCATACACAAGGAACGTGGCTCGCTAACGAGCTCCTTCAGGACTATTGAAAGGAGGGGAAGGCAATCGAATCGAGAGAAAATACCCCTCGGGGCTGTTGGGTTTTTTCTTTTTGTTCTTATCGCGTAGGCATAATCTTCGATCGATGCAAATGTACCCTTATTTACACGCCTCGAAACACTTTGCTCATAAATATAATGTACTCGTTTAATCGTTATTGTCGTTAGTTAATAAACGGTAGAAAAACCATACAGTCCGAACTTTTGATGAAAAATACGAAATTTTGTATCACATTTACAAAGGCATTGCTGTATATTGTAAACGCGCGTGCATCTCTCTCTATACGTATACGTGAAACCCTTCCCCTCTTTGAATTAACGATCGAGTTTTGCGCGCGTTAATTACAAACGAGAAACCCAACGGCATCGGTAACCTGTTTCTAACAGAGTCCTGGCACACACACACACACACGTGGCTCGCGATGTAGGTAATAATATAATGTGTAACACGCCGTATACAACGTGTACACACGCAATGCGGTAATCGTAACTTGAAGCACCGATCCGGACTTGATCGGTATATATACCTACTGTGCATATATACACACGTAGGCCATTACGGGTACGACGAACTTGATAACGGCTATCGTCAAACTGAGCGCCACATCAGATAAAATCGGCGCACATGTATATTGCGTATACACGTATGAGATTTCTCGTCCACGCGATCGGTTCGCTACACGTCATACCGCCTGCGAGTGATTTCCTTTCTCCTCGAGCGATTCCTTTAATGCGCGTTGTGTGTGTGTACAAATATTTTCTCGCACCGCATTGCACGGGCGCGTATCCGGCTCAGCATTTAGAGCGAAAATAAGGCTCAAATGATGTATGTGTATACTTACGCGTCGAGTAAACGAAGTAAAGCGGACGAGCAAAAGGCTGGCCCCACCGCGAGAGGTATATACATATCCGTCGTAATCCGCCCGAGGTAACGATAATCGAAGGAAGCGTGGCGAAAAGACTCGCCTGATTTTCGAGTTTACGGTGCCGTCTTTCTCGGCTTTTCTCCGCCGCGTATCGGTTCGCTCATCACATACGATCGGCCGGGGAATCGAGAGCGCGAATTAGTATCGATTTCGGTACGTTTCGCGATATATAATACGGCACGAGTTTCTTTTTCCTTTCTTTCTCTTTTCTTTTTTTCTTACTCCTTCCGAGGAAGGAATAACACAGCGTACCTCGCGGATCAACTTTCGACTTTTGGAATGCAAACGCGAGGGTATATATAATGTTTTTTCAATAAGCCGAAAAAGTCACTCCCTTTTTGAGCCGTCGCCTCGACGTGTATCCAGCCGAGCCTCCTTGTGATTTTCCGATCTCGCTGTGCAAATATTATCGATTCGCCGTCGAAAAGCAAAAATCAACTCCCGGATCGAGATAATGATTGGATGCGGGTCCATGCCCAGTCACGTTGGGGAGACCGCGTGGTGCGAATGGTTTGTGCCATATTTGCACAACGCGCGGAAAAAAAAAAAAAAAACAGGATATTTATAATTGGTATGTGGTCGACAGGCAATGCAACGGGAGCAGCGCTGGCTACGACGGGTGCGAGTATCTGTGCTGCGGCAGGGGCCACGTGACCAGGGCCGAGGAGATACTCGAGAGATGCGAGTGCAAGTATCACAATTGCTGCTACGTTAAGTGCAAGACCTGCCGGAACGTCATCGTCACCCACGAGTGCAATTGAAAAGAACCGGAATGACCCCTTGTGGGTGCATTTCTTTTTTTTTTCCCATATTCTTGTGGTACACGTCGAAAGAGGTTCTTTTTTATACTTATCGAGATCTATGAGAATTTTTTATTCGGTCTTGTGGCGATTGTGTGTATGACAGTATTTTTTTTTTTTTTTGCGTCGCTTCATACGTCTATGTACAGTTGAGGCATTAATTTATTATTACGACGTTAAACACGGAGTTAGCGACAAATGGAGAGGTTTGCGAAGTACACTGACACTTTTCACCCAACGTGCGTAATATCGTACGGATAGTCAATTTAAGTTACGTATCTTGTATTGCTTTCTTTGTGCCATATTCTATCATCTCGTTGTTTCTAAATGTGATACAACAAAGTATGTACCATCTCGATGCGTGAAAAGCTACGGTATACTTGAAGAAAAAAAAAAAAAATTCCAATTCGTTCGACTTAATTTTACAACATATACATATACTTATCTAGTTATACAGTCTAATGGACGAGGAGTAGAGATGAGTAATATATAATAATGAGGTAACAATAGCACGGAGAGCAGTACGAAAAATTTATATGAATGTAAATCGTGTCTAGAATATTACATACATACATTAAATAGATGATTCAGTGCATACGTAATATATATATATAGTCACGCTAATGCTCCGATATTGTAAGAGCATGTATAGCTCATACATAGCGCATTAATAATCATATACAGCCAATTGTTATCTGTCGTTGTTGCACATGACTACTACGTAATATAATGTATACTTACTTACTTACTCCGGATCTTGTGTGTGTGTGTTTTTTCTCCCAAGTAGGTGTCCGTGAACTATATGTGTATACGTGTGTGGGTGTGTGTTTATATCGATACAAGTTACAAAAAAAAAAAAAAAATTGATGAAAGTATAACAGCCGCACGAGTCTTTTAGGAACGATTTGCATGTGATAATTCGGGGACGTGACTTATAATGGGTATACAAGTAAAGAACGGCGTGCTTTTATGTAACCTTCGATGACGAAGATCGTACAAGACTGGCCTTTGGTGCGATTTAGAGGGTAGCTTACGTATACGTATATTTCTTTTCCGTTTCGCTTTTTGCAGTGATTTTTGACATACAACGGAGGAACGATTCACGCAAACGCTACACATCAATCGTGGGATCCATATGTGTGTGTGTGTGTATATACGCAATGTATCATTTTGCGAACCATCAGTCGGGCGATTGATGGAAACGTTTCTCTCCGATGTAATTTACGACGCAAATCCCGCTCTTGTGCCAATGAATTTGCGTGGGTATGTTTACGTTGTTAAATTTGATTGATGCTCGAATCAATGCCCTACACGTACGAACTCACGGCTTTCTAAATACCCGATGAATCGTTTCTTACGAGCTTTTTCGGGGACCCCGAAATTTATACTCTGTGTTTTTGTAAAACACGAAACTCTCTTTTTTTTTTCATTTTTACTTTACGAGTCTTTCTCTCTAAAGTTGAATCAGTCAAATTTTACTGCGAATCAGTAAAGTATCTTTTACTTATCACAATAAGTAAACGACTTTTCACTTATAATTAGTCAATATCGACTAATTCGACTGATCTAACTTTAGAGAATTCGGTTGCACTTTAACCAACTGCCGGTACGATCAAGTAATCGTCAATGTTCACAATTAATATGTATATATATACGTTATTGCGATCTGGCAAAAACAAATCAACTTGGCTTGTAATTTTGGTCATCGAAAAATGGCGCGTCCAGTCTCACGCTTAGTGGCTGTATATTGCGCGGGTACAGCTGCGTACCGAGTTTTCGTGACGTAGCGCGGCTCACCCTTCCATACACAGTAGGGCTTGCGATCGATGAAACAGTCTGGAAGCGCAGGTCGAACCATCAACACTTCCCTCTATAGTCCAAATAACCAAAAAAAAAAAAAAAACTATGCATAAAAAGTGAAGCCTTCTGAGATTTAAATTAGTGCACGGCATTTAGCAACTTAGGCAATCAACAAAATTTGATTTTANTGACAGGAAGGGTTTGCATCATCTTCATGCGTTTGTGATAATTTCAAGCGGGTGGAGGGCATTCGAGGCTTGTGAAAAAAAAAAAAAAAAAAAAAAAAAAAAAAAAAAAAAAAAAACAATCAAGCGCGAGGTGAAAATTCCTTGGAAATGTGACAACGAACGCGTTAATTGTCCACGCGTGTCGCTTTAAAAAGCTTTTTAAACGTCTCGACGGGATACGTACACCGTATCGGTTTAATGGTTGAATTTTCGCGTCACGGGATTATACGATACCAATAATGGATTTACGCGGTTTGCTCTCGCACAACAAGTATACATATGTATGCGACATGAATATTCTTATTAGCGAGCCAAGTGAAGTCGAGATGTATAATTTTTTTTTTTTTTTTTTTCCGTCGCACGTATCTGACAAAAGAAAATACGAGGTGCACCTTTCGCGGTATCCGAGTGATAACTCGTCGTAAATCATATATACCCCGGGGTAAATTGTTTTTCGTCTCGCGTTTGTCGAATGATCGGTTTCTATTATTTATCGCATGTACCGACATATGAATGTGTATCTACGTAAATGTACTTTTCTCGTACTATATCGATAGCCTTGTATAACTTTGAATATTATTTGTCCACACCTACGACCGTAGGCGTTGCAGAGACAAAACGAGAAAGAGCAATCGCCATGTAAATACACGTAGGGAGCGAGAACAGCTCGAACTTTCAATGTTAACGACGCATTGTATTCGAATGTCATTGTACCGTAATAAACGCATCAAAACGCAACCACAAAAAAAATTACCGTATGTATATATATCCATGTGCAAAATTTAATTTCTCTATCCCCATAAGCTAAAACAGGAGAATCGGAGTGATGTACATGTTTTTGCGTTGCTCTCAAATTTTCCGAGCTCAGGGTTTTGTACCGATATTTTATGCGTCGCTCGGTTTTTCTCCGGAAAGTCTCTCCTCCAAGCCGAGGTCCTTTAAAAATGAGCACCAGTCGATTTTGTTGCAATCCTTGGGCTCTTCCGCAGCCGTCCAGCGGATACCCTGTTGGCAAAATAATGTTACGATCACGGGCGATCGAAAAACAAATTTACCCCACGATATACCAACCTTCAAGTTGATCGGCAGTGTCGGTGTCGTGGGATTGATCCTCACGTTGAGAAAACAAATAAGATCCGAGCAGTCGACGTGTCCTTGCTCGTTTTTCCCAAGCCTATACATGGTTTCACGAAGTAAACGATAAAAAAAACCAATATATATTACCATTAACACACCCTGTAGACTTACCGATCCAGCATGAGATCGATGAGTTCGCGCTCGAGAGGTACTCGGTTGGCGCGCAGTATCGTGTAAAGTTCGTCCTTGCCGAGGTGGCCCTTTTTCTCCCTGTCCCGGTCTCGGATGTCCTCCTCGAGCCTATCCAACTCTTGCCACACGTGACGATTCAATTCCGTGTGTACCAGTGCTCTGCGATCAAAAAAATTCGTCTTTTTTTTCTTCTACCCCCTCCCGAGTGAAGATTATCGCCGTAGGTTGAAAAAAAAAAAAAAAACCCACGTACCTCACGTACTCCCGCGGGTAAGGTTCCCTGCGCTCGCATAGCGCGTAGCGGCGCGCAAGGGCCAAAACTTCGTGCTCGGTCACGTTGTCTCCCAAGTGCTCAACCAACGCTTCCCTGGAAAATGAACAAACGAGCACAAAGTACAAGCACCTCCATCGTGATCCCACGTACAAGCGCGTGGTTTACCTGAGACGAGACAGAGTCAAGACCACCGGCGAGCCGTCTGACTCGGGGGGCGAGTACGCGCCGACAAACTCCCGGTACACGGGTCTCAGGGCCTCCCGGAGCTTCCCCATGATCGCTCGAACGTTGGACATGGGAAACTATAAAAATACATATACGTAAAGACGAGGCGTCACCCAATATTATACGTATATATACCTCTGTGTGGTGATGCTCCATGTAGTTGAAGGTGTACTCGTCCGCGCCAACGAGTTGGAATTTGAAGCCGTAGAGGGTGACCGTGGCACCGATGTAAAAGTGCCGGGGCTCGTAGTACCGCGGCTCCTCGCTCGTGAACACGTTCTGTCCCGGCAGCCGGGCTCGCGCGTACTGCTGGAACATACTCTTGTTTCGACCTGGCGAACCGAGAGTTGAAACGAGCGATGGCATTTTGTTTTTTCAATTTTGTCGATTCGTTGGCCCAACCTTTTCTCTCGCAGACGATCTCGGGGATCGACACGGCGTTGTCGAACAGCCGGACGTTGACGACGAAGCACCGGTCAGCGTTCGCGGGTACGTCGGATATCATTTTCGCCGCGAACCTCAGGACGCGGTTGTCGTTTTTTTGGCTGGAACGTTAGGAGGGAGCAACGTTAGAAAAAAACACACATCGTCGTCCCTTACCGATTTTTCGTCCTTACTTTTCGTAGCGAAAGAATCGATCGGTAGGTATTTTCGGTCGCTTGGGCACCATCGAGAAGCAGTTGACCAGGGAATCCTCGTACGAGCCGAAGCCATTGTACGGCGGCACCTGGAACCTACGCTCGGCTCGGTCGCTTTCCCGATCGTCGGCTTTCAACGGCGTGAAATCGTCCAGGCCGTACTTTGTCCTTGAACCGGTTACAAATGTTAAGCATAACGTCACATTTTTTTGTTTCCCTAAATTTACGCTCACCTGTAGTACTCCTTTGTAAAATCGTCCATGTCGGCGAGTACGACCTTGCGCCCGAAAACGTTGAGTTGGGCGCCGATCGCGAGATCGCAGTCCCTATAGTAGCGCCCGCCAGCCGATCGGCCGTCGTTGTACGACTTGTCGGTCACGTAGTAACTGCGCTCGACGTTCTCCCCGAGGACGTTGAGCAGCGTCAGAGGATCGCTGCTCCCGATCGGCTCTATTTCCGTGAAAAACTAAAAAGACCACGATTTGCCGATCTGTATGAGGACAAGTAACAGCCGATCCTGTTTACCAACAATTGCTCAAACTTTGAGGAACTCGTTTTGCGAGATGTACAAATAACACATAGGGTACACTTTTTTTTTTTAAAGAAAAACGCTTGGACGTTACTTTGGGTAGTTTCGATCGTTTGACGATCAAGGATCTCTTGGCCGGGCTGCCGGAATTGGGCAGGTTCTCGATGACCTCCATGCTACCGTCCACCAGGTAGTAGAGCACCTCCAGATTGTGGACGTAGCCGTAGGGCACGTCGGAATCGTCCCAAGTGCCAAAGAACCGGAGCACCATGCCGTCGTATTTAAAAAAGTTGCCCAAATTGCACTCCTCTTTGTTCCTCTGCCGCAAAACCGGCCCGGCCTGGATGAAAAAAAAAAAAAAAAAAAAAAAAAAAACAAGAGACGAAAATTCACAGTCGAGGATGTAATAAGTTGAGGGAGCTATTCACATAGACGTTTTTTGCTTATTTCATTGTGAACGTTCATATTGAAAAGGGGGTTCCACTGTTCCGCTAAACTCAAATTGAGTGAACAGACTGAACAGACCTATACTGTGTTCTCTGTCAGTCAACATAGTTGCGACCATAGGCTTTGTTGCCTGATGGAAAAAGAGGTATAGGTCTGTTCACTCACTTTGAGTTTAGCGGAACAGTGGAACCCCCTTTTCAATATGAACGTTCACAATGAAATAAGCAAAAAACGTCTATGTGAATAGCTCCGAGGTTTTGGCTGAAAGTTGATCGCACTCTTTTGTGTTTGGGGTTGGCGGGGGGCTCGAGGGGATCCGGCACGGGGATTCCCATTCGGTTCAAAAAGTGCCGGGTGAACTTGTCGCAGTTGTAGATCTTGTACACGCGGCCGAAGATCCGGGGCTCCCTGCCAACGTTAAGGTCGAGGATGTCGAAGTAACGGTACTTCACCGGATCCGGCAGTGGAATCCTTTGGCGGCGCACCAGGACACCTACCAGCACGCACAGAAGATCATACGGTTTATTTTATTAATATTTTTTTTTTTTTTTTTTACACACGATACGAGGAAATCTCTCGGTAAAGTGGCAGCTGATATAGCGCGTAATGGCAGGGGACGACACAAGAGCAAAAATATATACGTATGCACACACATACCTTGCTCGAGGCCGCTATTGTCCACGGACGGCTCGGAAACTTTTATCGTGCCGTCCTCGAGAAAGAAGCTTATGTTGACTAGGCGAATCCTGTATGGGTAACGGCCCTCGTGGATGCTCTCTTGGAAGTAGGCATTGAACATGAGCCGCTACTCACCAAGTTTGAAACATGAGGGTAAATAATTGCTCGTAAAGTCCTTACATCATACATACATATACGTGACTCGAAAGAAAAGGGAATAGCTACTCGAATGGATTACTTTTTTTCTCTTTTTTTTTAGTCCTGAATTTATTTGGGGTTTGGCGATGCATTGTTAAAACACACTAGCTTTACGATTCACCAAGTATACATCGTATGGACGTTACAAGTTAGTCGTGACTTTTTGAATTAAACACAAACCTGACCGTCGAGGGATAGCCAAGGGGGTCTCGGGGGTAGCTCCCCCCAGGCGTACAAAGCCGGGTAGCGGTCGTGGGGCGATCTCTTGGACTTGTCGGCCAGGTAGTACACGCCATCGTGCAACTTGTCGAATTCCATCGACCTGTTGAACCGCGTACGGCCCACCTTCAATGTCAGCAGATTTTTATTTGAGCCGCTTTCAACGCGGATGAAAGTAACGATTTTTTTTTTTTTTTTTTTCATCGTCAGAATAATATTTTTACTTTTATAGTACACAGATGCCCGATTGCTCATTGTTGATCAAACGGGAGGACAATGCTGTATGTATATATATATATCGTATTGCTGACGATTAACCAAAATAAATGGAATAAATGCCTTTATCCAGACGCGAAAGTATCGTATACGTTGTTGACTTTATCGAGTCGCAAAATTATGTATTTGGATGAAATTTGTTTGATGATCAACCGATTAAGGTAACTATAAACTCACATTGGTATTGAAGTTATATCCCGGGAGACAAGGCAACTGCTGGACTTGGTTCATCTTTGAAAGTGAAACCTCCACCACCGTGACATTAAATTTTAAAACAAATCCGTCAAGCACTTGTCGATAAAAATGGACGATGGAGTGTTACGCGATGTGAGTTCCGGATTCCAAAAGAGTATCTATTTATCGGGGTTTCCTTGGCGATGAGTATAACCAAGGAGTAGCGTGTATGATCGATAACCATACATTCGGGAGATTGGAAAAAGGGATGCAAAAAATGAGTCTTCGTGTGTATTTTTCCTGAAGTAATTTTTTTTTATTTTTTATTTTCACTTAGCCTTTATTTTTGTACGTAGACATAATGTAGCAAAAATTTTGTATAAATGTAATAATGCACTTCTGTTAGTCTCGTCAAATAGCATTAGTCTAGGGAAAAAACTTACACCCTATGTAGTTGCATAGCACATTATTTTATGTAAAATCATTGAGGTATTTTAGAGAAAATTAACACTTCTCTCTGTAGATAACTGCTAAAACGAACTCTTTTTTTTATTCATTATCATATTCAATGACTAACTTCAACGATAACAGTTGATGTATATATTTTAATATTTTGTAAATATATTTCATAGCTGTATTATTGTGGCTTATGCTATATTATATATATTTTGTATAAAACGCTCAGCGTTTTTTTAATTGGTAATATTTATTTTCACTTACATACTATGAAATACAATAAAGTTTATGATTTATTTTAAAATTCACTTAAAATCATCAGCGTTCAATGGCGCAAATGAGAATTTGTTAAGGTAATTTTTTTTCTCTTTTTTTCTTATTTGAGTTATTCTAAAATATATTGATTTTTTATAACAATTTTGTTTTCGATTGTTCAAAATTCATTTTTAAACGATATCATATTAGAAAAAATTTTTTTGCTTATTTGATTTAAATATTAAAAGAAATAATATTCAAGATTTACTTTACAAAAAAAAAAGAAAAAAAAAAAAAGAAATTTAATATTTTGCACCAGTGAAATATTGATTATTGATTATTTTCTCGTGTATTCAACAAGGCTTTCAAAAAAAGTACAACCTTTGCCTTTTCCGATTTCCATAATAATCAAGTATAGAGCTCTGAAGGTTTATACATTATCACACATTTTAGGGATTATGCGTCTGTCCGTGAGACTTTGACATCTGTGATTAATATTTTTTTTCCTTATGTTAAAATATGATGGTTGAACGTCCAGTGGACCATAAGATTATAATAATATTAGTAATAATGAAAATTGAAAGAAGTTTACATCTAGATATTAAAATAAAAATAAGCGAGTTTAAAGGTTTCTAATGTGTAACTGATAACATACGGATAAAGTGTGATTCAAAAGTATGTTGTGCTCAAAAAAAAAAAAAAAATAATTGTGATGACTTTGCTTGGCTAACATTTTTCGTATGGCATTGGGGATTATTATTGTTATTATTATCACACAGCTCAGGCTGTACATATGAACTATATCACTTTTTATGTAACATTAATTTAGCACCCATGAATTTTAACAAGAAAATCTTAATCAATGTAAGAATTTTTTTTTTTCAAATGACAACAGAGTACCAAACGACCGAAAAAAAGATAGAAAATCTTAAAAAACGGTTTAACACATGATTAGACCGCTGTACAGAAATCCAAAGCTGTGAATACTGAATCACTGCAGTGTTAAAAAAAAAAAGAAAAAAAGAATTTCACTTTTGTTTAAGTAAATTATCTTTAGATGGCAGTATCGAATAAACAACCGCTCACAATACACTTTGACCAAAGTAGGCGTACAAAAAAAACGTACATAGAGATACGCATAGAAAACTCTGTTACATCATAACCATAGCATAATGAAAAAAAAAAAGAAAAGAATATACTCGTGTAAAAACAGTCGAGAGTTTGGTTGCAATGTACACCACCCGGTGATTCTTGCCTATACAATCATACTCTCGAGTAAGCCACATCAGCCCCAGTCCAAGGGCCTCTGTCTCCTGGGCAGACACGAACCAAACAATCGCCGATAGTATCTCCTCTTGAGTTTCAGCCTCTTCTAGTCTTTGGACTCGGGTTGCAGGTCGTACCAGCTGGTAAGGGACTGGCTGAAGTCGATCTCGGACAATTTGATGAGCACCTGGCCCATGCAATTGCTGCCGGTCGACAGCCAGCCTTTTTGCGTGCACACCGCGAGCTCGAGGACACGAGAATTGACGTCGCCTTGCGAGACCAAGTACTCAAACTCCTCGTCAAAGGTCGGGTTGCAGTTGTCCTTCATAACTGCGGTCTTGCGTTTGGTCTCCTTGTGCTTGTCGGGAAGTAGGTAGAGCTTGACGTACGGATCGGGGATGTTTGACGAGTCATTCGCCGGCAGTGGGAGATTACTGCGACGCGCGACCGATTATTATTATTATTATTATCATTATTAAAATACCAAAACAAGTAAGTATATGTACTCACGCCACTTTGTGTACGACAACGATGAGCTTCTGTCTTTGAACGCTGTATTTTAGGGTCAGTTGGATGCGGCCGAGCTTACTGCTGCCCGAGTAGGATGTCACGCTCGGGTTTCTGCGAATGAGTCCTGGCGAGTCCTCGCGGATCGACGAATATTGAGGAATCGCGGACGTGGGAGCCAAGGTGCCGTTTTTTTGCTCCTCGGCATCATCATGCTCGGCTATTAACTTGGGGTTGGTAACGTTGCTCACGTTACTCCGCATTGAGTCTTTCGATGCTTGGCGTTTTAAGGAAACGTCCGATACTGAAAAACCGGTCACGTCAATGCGGGTCTTTGGGAAATATGGTGACAATGGCGTGTAAAACCAGAGGGAATAGGGGTATGCCAAGGTCTTACCAATGCTGGACACGCTCGATTCTTGCCGCTCGATCTTCTTATTGAGACTCTGAATGTCCTCGTCCTCTTCATTGTCAGACGTAAATTCCGGCTCTTCGTACTTTAAGACCTGAACGCGTCAATAACATATTTTAGTCAGCATCGGCTTAAAGGGAGGAAATAAATGTGTTTTTACACGCACCCTTAGTTTCATCGACAGGGAGACTTTGCTCTCGGAGCCGCTTTTTTGCAAGTCAAACGGTTGCAGTTTCATTTCCAAGTCAGCCATTGCCAAGAGATTCGACAGATTGTAGTTGAACGTTCCAATTTGGGTTGCGGATTTAAAGTCGACGATCTGCGCGATAGCAACAAATTCAAGACATAAACGATGCGAGGAGAAATTCCCAGGAAAATTGACTACGAAAAACCGCGTCGGTAAAAATCTCGCAGGTGTTGGGTGGTTTTATTGTGAAAGGTATTCGTAGTCACTTTTCTGGCCAAGGGGACTTTAAAATTACCTTGACGTGCAAAATTCCGGTCTCGGGGTTACCTACGAGCATAGTGAAGCCTTGCTCCCACACAGGATTGCTAGATCTGAAGATCGTGCCCGTTCTCTCTACCTTGCCGCCGACGCTGGCCTCCAAGTAGACATCGGGTTGTTTGTTACCTTTCAAACACTTGTACGAAAAAATAATCATTTTTTTTTTTATACGAGCCAATATTTTTAATCACTTGGCAATTAAAAGTTACGCTTTGGGTGATCATCTTACGGGTAAGTTTTTGGCAGAGTCGACGTAGAGAATCAGCACGGCAGTGCTCATCGAAGTTACCCGCAATTCTTGGGTTTCTTTTAGAGCCTGAGACAATTTAACTTTGCTTGTAAGTATATACAATTACTTTTACAAAAGCTGGAATGCAAAATATGTAGAGCCGATAAAACTTACGGCTTTTAGATCATTGGCGCTGTTGGATAGTTGAAGCCAGACAAGGTGAAGATGAACCATTCCGTGTTTCGCCAATTCCAACGATATCCACTGGAAAAAAGGCAAAAACGAGTGAGTTTGACAAAAAAAAAAAAAAAAAAAAAAAAAAAAAAAAAAAAAAAAAAAAAAAAAAAAA